CAGGCGATATATGGTATAAAAGCTTACAAATGATCAAAAAGTAAAAGGTTCCAGTAATGAACAATTTCACCTTTTCAAAAATATGCAACAGCATTTCTGAAATCTGAGTTTAAAATCTGCCATTGCATTCACAAACTCTGAAATTCTCCATGGCTGGGGACTGCAAAATGCACTTTATTTATTTACCTTAAACTTTTGCTATAAGTAGGATAAGGTACCAAGGAAACATACGTTACTATCATCATTATGCATAGGGCCATCATTATTCTTAGGATAAATGATTAAGATGAATATATCTTAAGGTAGATACATATATTACATATCCTTTCCTCAACTTACCTTGCCACTTTCCTCAACTTACCTTCCAAATAAAGATCAGAGAGAGACATAATGTAGAGAGGACAAAAAACAAAGGCAAAAAGCAAGAAAACTTACAATAAATGAAGAGCACAGTCTAAAGCATGTTACAAAGCAGTAAAATATTTCAAACCTATAAAAAAAAATACCCTGGGGAAAAGAAGTAATGATTTTAAATTTACTTGTAGGGTTTCGTAGTTTAGCAGAACGTGCCATGGCAAGATCAAAGTGAGCCTGGTCTGCATTCTCACATAGATTGATGATTCGACACAGGCAATCAGCAGCAAATACTCGAGTGGCCCAGCGAGGTGCCACGAAGGGCTTTGATTTATCTTCTTCTCCAAGTGTGGTAAACATGGTATCATCATCCATCTCATCTTTCTTCTCAAATTCCTCATCTTTTCCACTGCTTAAGGGAGTTGCAGTACTCATATCTGTAACAAAAGTAAAAGCACATTATAACAACCTCACGTATAGCGAAAATGATGCTTTAGATATAGCAGTTTGAAGGCATCTAATTTAAAAACAGTAGAATTGGCAAGGTTCTTTTTAGAGAATCAATTAAAAAACCAAAGAGGGGGACTGGGTACAAAGCATGTAAGACAGGCTCAAGGACGTGATGTACACCATGAGGAATACAGGCAATAATTTTGTAATACATGTAAATGAAAAGTAACCTTTAAAAACTGTATAAAAATTAAAATAAATAAGCAATAAAAGTAGTTATCAGATATCACTTTGAAATTCAATAATATTGTTTTGTCTCCTTTGCATGTACTTTCACAATAATTATTTTTATGAAAGGTATGATTGTTGATCTGTTTATGATAGTAAAATAAAATTTCTCCTTAAATATATTTAATTTAAAAAAATAAATAAAAATAGAAATGAAAAACCAGGGAAAGAATAACAAAAATATTTACATATTTTACTACTTCTACATCTTATGTTGAACAAGACAGTAATCTGGGATTTTAATAAATGAAAATTAGTTTGAACTTAGTTATCTGCCAAAAAATAATCAGACTTCATTAGTTTGTAATATAATTTAACCTTAATTAATCCCTTTACAGGGATTTATAGATTATAACTTATTAGTATTTAAAAATGTAGGCTCAAATTTATATATACGTATAAATATCTATATATGGTATATATCTATAGATATGTATCAAAAATAAATAATTTTCCTTATTTTAAGAATATATATATTAAATACATACCACTAGAAGCTGCTAGGACATCTTTACAAAGCATTAGCCAATGAGAAAGCTTTTCTACAGCCAGCGATGACAGCATATGTCCCAAAGTATCATGGATATCAGAACATAATTTTCTGTCTGTCTCCCGGTCTAGCATTCCAAAAAGAAGTCCCTCAAGACCAGTTTCTGTTATATTAACACCTTGATGCCGGCAATGGATATCACTTCGAGAACTTGCTCCAGGCGCAAAAGGACTAACATCTGAAAAGCAAATATTTCAAATGAACTTGCACAGGCCTTTATTGTATACTAGTGGTTACAGTTATGTTAAAGACCTGTAAAGACATGTAAATGTCTTTAAATGAAAATACATGTAAATGAAAGACATGTAAATTCACAACAACAAAACCAGTTAGCTATATACACAATTCAACTATGGTCTCCAAATTACATATTTTTAGAATTAGAATTTAATCTGACAATGAAAGTAAAAATCCTGCTCTTTAAGACTGATTATCCTATGGTATTTTAAACAAATCTCCAGGGAATACTTGATAAATATATTTGATTTCAACAAGAAAAGTGTGGGAAAGAGACATATTTTTAAATAGATTTGATCATCTGAAAAAATTATTGCTATATATGTTGGATGAACAAATTGAAACTGAATCACTCCAAAGACATAATAAGGAGAGGCTTGCAGAAAACAGCCACAGTCAGGGGAATTCAAAGACAGCAGGAAATAGAAGATTCTGAGGAAGTAACATTCTAGAGAGATTAAGCACAGATGTCTATTTTTCACTTAGCAGTATAGCGTGAATATTTTCCCAAAGCAGGAATTAGACTTACACAACATGAATTTACATGAACATTGCAAATCACTGACTTAGGAGTACATTAACTGATTAACCACTGAGGAGGAATTCCTGAAAGAGGCTAGGTCAAAGGGTTAGCATGGTTTGAAAACTTGGAGGATATACTGACAAAAAAATCCTCCAAGGAAATTTGTGTGACTTTACATTTCTACCAGCAGTATAAGAAATTTCTCTTTTATTCATACCTCTCCCAACACTGGTTAAAATCATAATTTTTATCTTGATCA